TATATATACAAAAATTAGCTCAGCATGGTGGCACAAGCCTGTAATCCCAGCTACTCGGAAGGTTGAGGCAGAAGAATTGCTAGAGCCCAGAAGATGGAGGTTGCAGTGAGCCAAGATGGTGCCACTGCACTCCAGCCTGGGTAACAAGAGCGAAACTCCGTCTCAAAAAAAAAAAAAAAAGTAACCACCACTGAAGTCATGATTGTAAACACTGTCATCAACTCCAAAAGTTCCCTTGTTCCTGTCTGCAGGCACTTCCTCCCTCCCACTTCCTGGCCCCTAGCAACTTGATCTGCTATCACTATAGTTTTGCTTTTCTAAAATTTCATATAAATGGAATCATACATATTTTATTGCTGACTTCTTTCAATTAACATAATACTTTTTTTAAAAATGCTCAAGTTGTGCGTGCCTGTAATCCCAGCTACTCAGGAGGCCGAGGTAGGAGAATTGCCTGAACCCAGGAGGCGGAGGTTGTGGTGAGCTGAGATTGCGCCATTGCACTCCAGCCTGGGTAACAAGAGCGAAACTCCGTCTCAAAAAAAAAACAAAAAACAAAAAACAAAAATGCTCAAGTTGTATTGTACCAGGAGTTCACTCCTTTTTATTGCTAAATAGTAACCTATTATATGGTCATACCACAACTTATTTATCAGTTTACCAGGCAGTACACATTTAGTTTCTTTGCAATTTTTGGTTATTGTAAATAAAGCTGTGTTAAACATTCAAGTATAACTTCTTGGGTGGATATATGTTTTCATGGGCAATGTAATAAATATGTTTAACTTTACATAAAAACTATCTTGCATTCTGGTACCTATCTCAGTTATATTGCATGCTGGTGTCAATGTCAGTTTTAAAAAAGCCCTACCTATACCAATTCAAATTATTAATGCTATTCAATAATATGAATCACTGACCGGGGTGGAAGAATCTCTTGATCTATTAATATCAAGTATTTCATAATGTGTATGTACTCGACTTTAGGGTATGGAGAACAGAACTCATGGCCTGGTAAAGGAGCTGTTATACTGTTTGAAAATTATCTCCATTACCTGCTATGAGAAGTAAAGCAAACTGTTTTACACCTCTGCTATTCAAAGTGTGGTCCATGGACCAGCAGGACTGGCATCACCTGGGAAGCTGGTAGAACTGTAGGATCTCAGCTCCAACCTTTGACCCACTAAATCAAGTGGATTTTGGCAAACCCCCATGTGATCTGCGTGTTTCAGAAGCACCGCTGGAGAAGGTCAGAGAAAAAAGGAATTGTATCCAACCAAGAAGATCAGGGCTTCACGGAAAACAGCTTCTGAGGGGAACTGGAAGCTCACTCTAAATTTTATACTACATCTTTTAAGTCTTTACAGTGTGACCTTTTAACGTTTTCAATCAACAGAAGCTTCTCTGAAGAAACTAGTCAGATTCCCTTCGAAAATAAGTAGCTTCGAGAAAAATTTCCCTCACCATTCTAGAGAATGCTTGTGGTTTTTGTTTTGTTTTGTTTTGCAAATTTCTTGGACACTGTCCTTCCTGTATTAGTTTCAGTCTTACCCTTCCATCTATTATTAGTGTCAGTATGCTATTACTGGTATTTTTGAGAGAAAATAGGATTCCTCCATTCACATTACACCTATAGGACACACACCCCATTTTGCATCTCCTTCTGATTCACCTAAGTGCTAACTGAATCACTGTATTATAAATACGCATTTACAATATTTCCAGTTACTGCAATTCACAACTTGAACCCAAGAATTACAGATCTTACAGCTGAGAACACCACAAGAATTGGGGGCACTTAGACACAGTCAGGACTTGGAATATTACAGAAGAGCCAGCCAGGATCTCGAAAAGTTAAAAAAAAAAAAAAGAAAAAAAACTGTCAAAGGCTATCTTGCTAATAAGGAGCAAAGTTGGTAATAAAGGAGAACATTTTACATGGGTTCCCCTCCAGCACAATTCCTGTCTCATTATGGGTGCACAATATTTATGAATTTGATGAGTAAATAAATCAATAAAGGGATAAATAAATTATTTTTTTTTCATTTTTTTTTTAAAGACAGGGTTTCACCATGTTGGTCAGGCTGGTCTTGAACTCCCAACCTCAGGTGATCCGCCTGCCTTGGCCTCCAAAGTGCTTGGATTACAGGCGTGAGCCACCACGCGCGGCCAGGAATAAATAAATTATTATCTTCGAGCCCACTTGTCTGTTTTTGTTCCAATCCTCTCTGATCTCTGCAGTTTTCAGTTTCAGAATTTGCCCTTGGCTGGCACCACACAGGCCTCCCTCCTCTACTTCTCTGCCTGTGTTTCTAGATTTCGTCTTTCTCCTCTGTCCACCTAAACACAGGTGTTCTCAAGCCGTTATCTTCATCCTGTTCCCTAAACCCATGTTCTCATTACGTCTCACCTTAGCTGCTGGCAATGATCTCTAATCCTTCCTCCCTGTAAACCAGCCCACATGCTGTACCTGGCATAAAATCCGCAAAGTGCAGCTCTCACCTTGTCACTTTGCCTGGTATTTTAGACCTCCATGACTTGGTCTTAGTAATTCACTGGCAATTTATTCTTTGTAGGTAGTAGCGTAACTGAGTGTTAAGACTGTTCGCCTGGTAATCAGACCCTCTGAGTTTGAGTCTCTAACGCTCTTCCTCTGATGAGCTGTATCACCCTGGGAATTTGCTTAATCTTCTTACAATTCAAGTTCCTTGGCTGTAAAATAAGAATAATAATACTGCCTAATAGAGCTATTACAAGTAGCAAATACAAAATACTTAGGTAAGTCTCTGGCACATGGTAAAGACTCTCCTAATCTTTTTTTAATTCTTCTTTTAAAATTAGTGAAGTATGGCCAAGAACAGTGCCTCACACCTGTAATCCCAGCACTTTGAGAGGCCGAGGCAGGTGATCACTTGAGGTCAGGAGTTCAAGAACAGCCTGGCCAACAGGGTGGAACCCCATTTCTACCAAAAATACAAAAATTAGCCTAGTGTGGTGGTGGGCGTCTGTAGTCCCAGCTAGTTGGGAGGCTGAGGCAGGAGAAGAGCTTGAACCTGGGAGGCGGAGGTTGCCGTGAGCTAACACCGCACCATTGCACTCCAGCCTGTGCAAAGAAGCAAGACTCCATCTCAAAAGAAAAAAAAAAAAACATGAAGTATTAGCTTCCCATACACCAAGACCTCACTAACAATTAGCTTTCTAATGTCCTGGCAGAGATCCTAAGGACTCATGACTTTGCGCTAATAATAACCTCAAAAACTTAAGTTTTCATTACTGTGCTATTATTGCTACACAGTCATTTTAATATCTTAAAGTATCTGTGACAGGAAGCTTTATTCATCTACTTTTGAATATAAAGTGAATGGCATTTAAAATAATAGTAATTCATTGGCAAAACTCATCTTAGAATTAGACCCTATTTCTGGCTATAGAAACCATATCTCTTTTATGCCTTTCATAATAAAACTGTTCTGAAATTTAATAAAAACAAACAAAAAACTCAGATTTGTAAACAGCGTTTCAAATTTGTTTTGAAGCAAAACAAAATAAAATCAAGAACTCTACAAATAATCTGAGTTGGCAAATAGGTTTCCTCTTACATTCTCATTTGGAGCCATTATAATGTTGAGAAGGATTCAGATATTGTGTCCTAGGTGTAGAAGCAAACACCATGATGACTCAAGAAATGTCTAACAAGGTAAAGACTGGAATTTTTGTTGCTCTGTCCCAGAGTTTGCGAACAGAAGAATAAACCTTGTGCAACAGCTGGCAGTAAAAAGTTAAAACTGACTAAACACCTACGTGATAAAACTGTTCTAAATGCTTTAGACATAGACTTAGTTTAATCTTCTAAACCACCCTTTAAGAAAGGCTTTATCATCATTCCTATCTTACAGATAAACCACAGAGAAGCTGTAAGTTCCCGCAGGATACCCAAGTAGTAAGTGACAGAGGTTGGATTTGAACCCAGGCAAATACTAGAATCCAGGAGCATCATAAGGACTCTCAAAATACTTCCATCTTTTTGATGCCAGAAACTCTAAAGATTGACAGGAAAAACAGCTTTACAAATAAATCACCAAGATGATTACGATCCAGATTCTAGTAAATTGAGATGTTGCTGGTGATAAAACCTGAGGACCCAGCCCTACCTTCTGCCTTGATTCAGACTCTCCTCAAGAGTTTGCAAGTCTAGTGGCTCAAAACTTGCTGGGGAAAGGCTTTGAAACCCTCATGAGAAATCTCAGTGGGAACAAGCAAGAGCTGAAGAGATTCCCTAGCGCTGAATCACAAGACCATTCTGAGTTCCCATACTGGCCAGCACTACTAAAGCACAACATTCTCAGTCAGTAAGTGTCTTTCCCGAAAAGATCTCCGAACAAATCTTCTAGTAGAATAATCATTCTCTGATGAACCTTAATAAATCATTGAGTGCCTGCATAGATTCATGGGTAAAACACATAGCTCGTTCCTGGCAGACACTTGAGCCCCAGATCTTTTTTCAGAATCAAGTTATATATTGATGTCTGAAATTTGTGAATGGGGTTCCAAAATAGTAAAAAAAAAAAAAAAAAAAAAAAGCCTAAAAGATTGCAAGATACTTTAATGAAACTATCATTAATTGTTGCACTTAAAGACAGACCTGAAACTAATTCTATTGAGAAAACAAGCCCCAAAGAGGAAAAGCCTCTTGCCCAAGGTTCTAAAGCTGGTTAACAGCAGAATTTCTACAATATTTGAGATGCATGTAATGTTCTAAGAGTTTTCTTGCTCCTCACTTACGTATTGGCTAAGAAGAGTCCCAAAGAAGGCCCATTCAATTGAGACTAAAAATAATATTTAAGACACCCGTAGATCAACGGTGAGATATGCTGAAGGGTCATGGGTAAGAGGGGATTTTCACATCACCCACAAAGAGAGAAACATTGTATCAGAACATTACAAGTGTTCCAGCTGACATTTAAGGATATGGAGACAATGGTGGTATTGCCTTTGCTTACCTGCACTTTTAAGAAACGTTTCCCAAAGACTCCGTTCCCAGAAGAGGAGAACGTGCTGAAGAAGAACCAGACTGCCAGAGACTGAGGATGTTGCCTGCTGAATTGCTGGGGCCTCTCTGTTAGAAATTATCTAAGACCCAGGGTGGGGCTGCTTCCTCACTTGCAAATGCTGAAATAAAACACAAAGACAGTATGTTTATAAGAATGGCTCAACTGACCCAGAAAAATGTAAAAAGTCATTTTTAAAAATTTCATGAAAACACTATTTTAGTAAGCTCACTTCTGATCTCCTAAAAAATGCTTTACAGGATGATGAAATTACCAAACACAACAACAAAACAAAAAATCCAACAGTCCGTATTACATTACTGCCTGCCTTTCAGAATTGGCTTTCCAAAGGACCCAGCTCAGCCTCCTTAAAAATAATAACATACCCAGCTCAATTAATCCCAAGTAACCTGGTAATGAAAGAACCATCTGTCTTATTTTCCAGCTTCTCTCCACACATCCACACAGCTTTATTTGGAAATGCAGAGGTAAGGTGAGAGAAGGAGCTATTTTTCTGAAAATCATTCGAAGAGGGAGAGAGGGACAGATGAGAAAGGATGAGGTCAAGAAGAATAAAAATATCTAGAAGAAAGTGAGGGAAAAAGGAGTGTAGGTAAATTATTAGAACAAACCAGTTTGAAAATGTGCCATGGGCTACTTTCTAAAAAAAAAAAATTGAAAAAAAATCTCAAACCTCTCTTGCTACAGCTTGTCTTACACAAGACACAGACACACACACACATCTGCATGCTCTTGAAGTTAAAACAATTATGCTAAATCTACTCTGCCTGTATGCTATAAAAGAACAGTACGGTTTATTAAGTTTTTTAAGCCCATTATTATGTTATTAGTGTTCTGGTATTTTGTATATTTAAGGTAAAGGCACTTAAAAAATAGCAGGTACACAAATATCTTATTAACCCTTGTGCTATGTCTTAAAAGCTGAAAATGAAATTCCCAGATGGAAGATATTCTCCCTATACTAGAAAAAAAACACAACATCCTTATCTTCAAAGACAAGATGTTAAGACAGACCTTGTTAAAATAACTCTTTTAAGCCTCCAGACACAATTTAGTTGCATTTTCACAGTTTATTATGCTATGTTCAATCCAGTAAGTTCAGACACACCTAAGAGATCGTGGATGTTCACTTCCAGACCACTGCAATAAAGCAACCACTGCAATAAAGCAAGTCACAGATTTTTCGGTCTCCCAATGCATATAAAAGTTATGTTTATACAACACTGTCTATTAAGTGTGCAACAGCACTATGCCTAAAAGACAATGTGCCTATCTTAATTTTAAAATATTTTACTGCTAAAAATGCTAATGATCAATCATATGAGCCTCTACTGAGCTGTAATCTTTTTGCTAGTGGACGACCTTGCCTCACTGCTTATGGCTGCTAACTTACCAGGCTGGTGGTTGCTAAAGGCTGTGGTGGCTGTGACAATGTCTTAAAATAAAACAATGACATTTGCTGCATCAACTGATACTTCCCTTCATGAAAGATTTCTCTATACCAGGCAATGCTCTTTGACAGCATTTTACTCATGGTAGAACTTCTTTCAAAATTACAGTCAATCCTCTCAAACCCTGCCACTGTTTTATCAACTAAGTCTATCTAATATTCCTAATCCTTTATTGTCATTTCAACAATGTTCACAGCATTCTCACCAGGAGTCAACTCAGTCTCGAGGAATCACTTTCTTTGTTCCTGCATGAGAAGCAATTCCCATTCATTAAAGTTTTACTATGAGGTTGTAACCATTCAGTCACTTCTTCAGGCTCCACTGCTAATTCTAGATCTCTTGCTGTTTCTACCACATCCAGTTTCCCTCCATCGCAGTGTGGAACCCTTCAAAGTCACCCATGAGAGCTGTAATCAACTTCTTCCAAACTTCTGTTAAAGTGGAAATTCTGACCTCCCATGAATCACAAATGTTCTTAATAGCATATATAATTCTTTCTAGAAGGTTTTGAATTTACTTTACCCACATCCGTCAGAGGAGTCACAATCTATGGCACCTATAGCTTTACAAACTATAATTTCTTAAACAGTAAGACTTGAATGGTGAAATCATTCCTTGATTCATAGACTGCAGACAGATGTTGTTTTAGTAGGCACGAAAACATTAAACTCCTCATACAACACCATCAGAGTTCTTGGGTAACTAGGCGCACTGCAGAACAATAGTATTTTGAAAACAATCTTTTTTATTCTAAGCAGGTCTCAATAATGGGCGTACAGTATTCAGTAAACCATGCTGTTCTTTTATAATGCACAGGCAGAGTAGATTTAGGATAATTACTTGTTAATAGATGGGGTTTCCCTATGTTGCCCAGGCTGGTCTTGAACTCCTGCTGTGCTCAAGTGATCCCCCTTGGATTGGCCTCCAGAAATGCTGGGATGACAGGCATGAGCCACTGCATTTGGCTAATGTAGCATAATTTTTTTTTTTTTTTTTTTTTTTTTGAGACGGAGTTTCGCTCGTTACCCAAGCTGGAGTGCAATGGCGCGATCTCGGCTCACCGCAACCTCCGCCTCCTGGGTTCAGGCAATTCTCCTACGTCAGCCTCCTGAGTAGCTGGGATTACAGGCACGCGCCACCATGCCCAGCTAATTTTTAGTATTTTTAGTAGAGACGGGGTTTCACCATGTTGACCAGGATGGTCTCGATCTCTTGACCTCGTGATCCACCCGCCTCGGCCTCCCAAAGTGCTGGGATTACAGGCTTGAGCCACCGCGCCCGGCCGAGCATAATTTTTAAGGGTTGGAAAATTTTCAGCATGGTAAATGAGCACTGGCTTCAACTTAAAAGTCACCAGCTTCATTAGCCCCCAACAAGAGGGGTCGGCCAGTTCTTTGAAGCTTTGAAGCCAGGCACTGACTTCTCTTCTCCAGCTATAAAAGTCCTAGAAGACATCTTCTTCCACTGGAAGACTGTTTTGTCTACAATGAAAATGCATTGTTTAGTGTAGCCACCTTCAACAATTATCTTTGCTAGATTTGGATAACCTGCTGTAGCCTCTTCTTCAACACCTGCTGTTTCACCTTGTATTTATGGAGAAAGTTTCTTTCCTTAAACCACATGACTTCCAACTTTTCTTCTGTATCTTCCCTTAGTCTCCATGGAAGAGAGTCCGAGCCTTGTTTGGGATTAGATTTTGGCTTAAGAAAATTGTGTGGCTTGTTTGATCTTCTATTTAGGCCACTAATACTCTCTATCAGCAGTAAGGCTTTCACTTTCTTATCATTCGTGCGTTCACAGGAGCAGCACTTGTCATTTCCTTCAATAACTTTCCCTATCTCTTCACAACTTGGTTAACTAACTCCAGAGGCATAGTTTCTGGTCCGTACTGGCTTTCAACATGATCTCCTTACTACGCTTCATCATTTCTAGCTTTTGGTTTAAAGTAAGAGATGTACAACCGTCCTTTTACTTGAACACTTAGAGGCTATTAGAAGATTATCAATTGGCCTCATCTCAATATTGTTGTGTCTCAGGGAATACAGAAGCCCAAGGGAAGAAAGACAAGAAAACAGAACACACACATGTATAGATACAGTTGGCTGTCTTACAGGGGTGCAGCTTGTGGTGTCCCAAAATCAATACAATAGTAACACCAAAGATCAGTGATCACAGATCACCATAACAGACATAATAATGAAAAAATCTGAAATATTAAGATTACCAAGATGTAACACAATGGCAAGAAGTGAGCACGTACTGTTGGAAAAATGGCACCAATAGGCTTGTTGGACAAAGGGTGGCCACAAACCTTCAATCTGTGAAAAGCACAATATTTATGAAATGCTATAAAATAAGTTATGCCTGTCACTAGCTCTGCTTCTTTGTATTTTTTTTTTTTTTTTTTTTTTTGAGACAGAGTTTCGCTCTTGTTACCAGGCTGGAGTGCAATGGCGCGATCTCGGCTCACCGCAACCTCCGCCTCCTGGGTTCAGGCAATTCTCCTGCCTCAGCCTCCTGAGTAGCTGGGATTACAGGCACGCGCCACCACGCCCAGCTAATTTTTTGTATTTTTAGTAGAGACGGGGTTTCACCATGTTGACCAGGATGGTCTCGATCTCTTGACCTCGTGATCCACCCGCCTCGGCCTCCCAAAGTGCTGGGATTACAGGCTTGAGCCACCGCGCCCGGCTTGTATCTTCTTTATGAGGGCACCCATGCCACGTAAAACTTGCAAAATAAATCTGTATGCTTTTCTCCTGTTAATGTCTCTTATGTCAATTTAATTCTTGGACCCAGTAGGGACCTTGAGAGGATGGAAGTGGAGTTTTCCAGCCACTATGCTCTCTGTGTTAGTAGAATATATTTGTTATTTTTAACAATTCTTAGAAAACAAATGCCTTAAAATCGTGACTATTTTATTTCAGAGGCCATTTATGAACTCTAGTGTCCTTCAACAGGAAATAATTATGCTTGGTTATTACGAAAATCATATAATAACATAAAAAACAGATTTTGCCAAAGAAAGTTTTTAGAAGTTGACCACATGAAGATTATTTCTATGTGTTGGATGTATGTGTATATAACACTTTACAGTAAATCCTCACCTGTTCTTCATGAGTTCTTGGAAACTAGGCCCTTAAGGAAAGCAAAGTATACCGAAACCAATTTTTCCATCAACAATAAAATGACATTGAATAAAAATGTTTTAAGGTTGTAGCTTCCAAAAACTTATTAATGACACTAAATACATGTGTCTTTTGAAGAGTTAAGTAATGAACCCATTTAGAAATAAGAAAAGCAAAGGAATGCTGTTTATTGCCTACTATTAGAGAATTCTTCACCACCTGACAGAACTTGGAAGCTAAAGAAATTATGGATCATGGAGTATTTGTGCCTCAGGGTTACTCTCTCCTCAAATGTATAGAAAGTACAGTTCCTGGGTTTTGTTTCTTTTCTTTTCTTTTTTTTTTAGCTTTTTTTTCTTTTTGCTTTTTTTAAATTGCATTTTAGGTTTTGGGGTACATATGAAGAACATGCAAGATTGTTGCATAGGTACACACGTGGCAGTGTGATTTGCTGCCTTCCGTCCCCTCACCTGTATCTGTCATTTCTCCCCATGCTATCTCTCCCCACCTCCCCACGCCCC